TATGGTGCGGGTTATCACCACCACGCCAATGCTTGTTCGCAGCAAAAACTTGCTGAAACGTAAGCGAGTGAAACCAGCAGAAACCATGTTGGCTAGTATATTCAGAAGAATTCCGTGAGGTATTGAGAGAGGTTGTCAGCAGCGAGGAGTTTGGACGGTGGGAGCGATCCTTAGCAACCAGTCCTTGCAAAGGCTGTCAGGTTCTGCAATGCCATCAACAACGATGAACTTTGGGAGATGATCAATGATATGCTTCCCATTTTGAAACTGGTCTGGTATGGTATCAAGACCCTCGATTGCGGGGGACTAACATCGTTTTCTTTCTTTGTTCTACGCGATGCAGCTGCGGAGAGGTGTTTTGACACACAGAAGTATGTACACAAATTCCCCCGCAATGGATTGTCAAGGGACCAGATTCACAAGCTTTCCCACATTTAATCGAACGAGAGGTGCTGGAATGGCAATGCCAAACGATATCCCACAGAGATGGACGACTATGTGAGACCATTAGAAATGGAGTGGTCGATGCGGCTGCTGATGAGACCGACTCTGATCAGGAATATGAGACTGATGACGAGGATGAAAACTATGATTTCACAGCAGCGGTGCCAGCAGCAAATACAGCATGAGCAAGGACGACGTGCGGCCATCCCAACAAAAATCTTGCTTTTTCTCCATCTTTACTCTTTAGTTGAGAAACTCCGACTCCTCATTTCCGGGATGACAGAATGGAACTAGGAAGTTTGTTTGTTTTTTTTTTTTGAAGCAAAAGAGGGAGCTAGCAGGGCTATAGCTTAAAGATGAATTGAAAGCCCGGGAAGATTTATTCTTTTGATCAAACAATGGGTTAGGGTTTATGCATTCCAGGGAGGGGATGGCGCTGCTAGGACACCCTCCAGGTCTGGCATTTTGCAAGCAGCAATCGCTTTGTCCAGGAGCGTGCGATTCCGAGGCCATAGCAGCGGCAGCAACGAGAGAGGCGATAGGTATCTCCAGCTCCCAGCCAGATTGCGAGGCTCTACTTGCCGATTGGAAGACGAGGATAGAGCTAGAACTGTTTCGGGCGCTCAACAGCGCGCAATGCGTGTCCTCCAGGGCGAAGAAGACGGGGTGGAGATTTTCTGGCAGTGGAAGTAAACAGCCAGGAAGCCGGAAGAAATGGGTCAAGTCCGTGCTTGGCGCTCTTGGGATAGTTTTAGCTTTCAGCGGGGTGGCCAGCGTTGTGAAGATCTTGCTCTCGGCTCTGCCCCCGGATTTCATAGACAGATGGAGGAAACTCGAAGGCGAGCAGCCGAGAGCTGATCCAAAGTTTGGACAAGGAGAAGAGCCCGAGACTGTGATTTATGACTGTCACGGCGAGGTGATTGCCACTCTTGTTCCTGGAGGATACATTGGCAAGCGAGATCCTTTGAAAACTTCGGCCTCGACCGGTCCTCTCCGTCCGAGCGACATTCCTTCGGCGATGTGGCAGGCGGTGGTAGCTTCCGAGGATCGGCGTTTCTTTGAGCACCATGGAATTGATCCGAGAGGGATTTCTCGTGCGGTGCTTACGCTTTCTTCTAGCGGTGGTGGAAGCACGATCACGCAACAGGTACTTTGGGTTTTCCTGTTTCTTTTTCTTGCACTGGATCAAGTTTGTTTTGTTCTTTCGCGCAGCTGGTGAAGAACTTATTTCTAACAAACGAACGAAAATGGTCTCGCAAGGCTGTGGAGATCATTCTAGCACTTCTTTTGGAGAAACGTATGTCCAAGTGGGATATCTTACGTCTTTACCTTGACAAGGTGATTGTGTTCGACGTTTTGGCTGTGCAATGCTTTGGACTGACCACTTTCTGGCAGATTTATTGGGGCCACGGTGTCTACGGTTTGAAAGCCGCCGCAGCGTTTTACTTTGGAAAGCATCCATCACTGTTGACGCTAGCAGAATGCGCAATGCTAGCAGGCATTATTCCTGCACCCGAACTTCTGTCACCATATAGAGATCCTAGCAGGTATGAAAGACGAGGCTGACTTGTTTACTAACACCACTCGATTAGAGGGAAAAAGCCTCAGGCTAGAACACTCCGGCGCATGGTCGAGGTTGGATTTCTGGATGCCGACAGTGCTGCTGCCGCGGTTAATGAACCTCTCTCTCTCTCTTTGGAGTATCAGGAAGGAACCTGTGGTCCATGGCGTGCTCCTTACTTTGTCAGCGAGGTTTGTCTTTATGGAGATGTTTGGCTGACTTGAGATTGGCCCTTCAGGTGCTGTATGAGCTGACGCAAACTTATGGAAGAGACCACATTCTTCGCGGCGGATTACAGGTATTCATATGAAATGTGTACAGCTTTGGTGAAACATATTGTGTTTCATAGATACATACTACACTGGACTTGTCCATACAAGATATAGCTGAAAAGACCATCACGGAAGCTTTGTCCGAATTTGATAATGAAAGGTTGGTTCTTGCGGATAAGGAGATCGGGAAGATCCGCGAGAAAATTAAAAAATTAGGAAAAACTCGAGCCGAGGAAATTTTGAAAGCCGTAAACGCGGTTACGTTAAGGTATCTTACTCATTTTTTACTTTGACAACCTCTGGCATACTTTGTGAAGGATCCAAAAGGATGCGAAGAAGCGTCGTCGAAAAATGGACGTCAGTAAGCTCAGGTACAGGTTTCCAGGTTGTGTATCGCAATTAAGTAAGTCTTACTGCAGAGAGGAAACAGATAAAGCCATTTCTCTTGCTGCGGAGAAAGCCAAAGCAGCTGTTTGTTTGCGATTCGATTGGATGTATGTAGAATTTGTCTTCCACCTGACATTTTCAGCTCCTACTGGGACATGCAGGGAAAAGAGATTAGAAGCATCTCTTGCAAAATATGAGGATGAAAGCAAGAAGGCAGCTGTAGCAAAGTAAGTGTGATATTGTGTTTTTCAAGTCACCTTATAGTTGCCGATAGGATGGAAGGAGCAGTGATTGGTATCGATCCTTTAAGTGGTGCGGTTCGTGTACTTGTCGGTGGCAGGGACTACTATGAAAGCAGTTTTAATCGATGCACGCAGGTTCGAGAATCTTGCTTCAACTCTGTAATAGTGAAAGTTTTGTACGCAGGCATTTCGATCACCTGGTTCGACATTCAAACCCGTTGTGTACCTTACAGCTCTAGCCGAAGGAATGTAAGGAACATCGCGAAGGGCTTTTTTCATATGTTCATGCTCTTCTTTAAGGCTATGTCTGTGCTAGTGATCCAAGCCGTACGATAGTGGACGCTCCTTACACAATTGGTGGCTTTACTCCGGAGAACTACGACCGCAAATATAGAGGAAGAGTAAGCTATCCAGCTTCATGGGACTTAACTTTCTGTTTTGAAACAGGTTACAGTGGAAGAATCGCTGCTGAGATCTCTGAACATTCCAACTGTAAAACTGTGTGCAGAAGTCGGAGTCGACAAGGTTTTTGACAGACCATTGTGTTTCTATCTATAAGCTGTATATGTAGGTATGTGCCATGGGAGCGGCGCTTGGCATTGATACATTTCTTCCTTACGAACTGTCTCTGTCCCTTGGCGGCTGTGAGGTAAATATTTGTATTGCCACTGCTCACGATCTACCTGTATACTCGTTCAGGTGACTCCACTGCAACTTGCTACTGTGTATGCAACTATTGCCTCCGGAGGAATCTACCGAAAGCCATACATGATTTCCTGTGTGCGGGATTCCCAAGGCGAAGTTTTACAGGAACAGGTACGTGGTGATGTCAATCCTTTTGTTAAAAGCTGAAGTGGTGTCGCGCTTTTCCTCAGCCGGCACCAAGTGAAGAGGCGGTTGTGGACGAGTATGCAGTGTCTGAGCTCAGGAGGCTACTGCAGGCCGTTGTAGAGAAAGGAACTGGACAATCTGCAAGAATAGGAAGGCCTTGCGCTGGGAAAACGGGAACTTCTGATGGCTACAGAGACGCGTGGTTTGCTGGCTTTACGCCCGAGCTTTCTTGTGTGGTAAGGGAACCGGTTCATATTGAGAATATCCACGTCTTTGAGTTGCGATGACAGGTCTGGATTGGATATGACGACAACACTCCTGTTGGTGGAATGCATCCAAGTAAAGGCTTTGTTTTCTAGGCTGTCAAAGTTTGATCCCTTCGTTTTTGTGACAGTCACAGGTTATTCACACGCGGCTCCACTTTGGAAGCATTTTATGATTCTCGCTCACGAGGTAGTTCACCAGTTCAGACATAAGATTCCTCAAGAGTTTGTGCGACTGAATCCAGGGCCTTCCAATCCAAAGATTCCATGACTATGGACGAGATAGATACGGCAACCAAGGTTCTCGCGATTTTGAGAAGAGATCACGTCGACCGCAAAGGCTGCTGGCTTTCCGGGTATGTTCAGCTGATTGCTTTTTCGCCTCTTGAGTTTTTCTAAGATCCAAGTGCTCGTTGTTAGGATACTCCTCCCACTAGTGTGGCCGACTCGAAGTTTGGCATCAGTGGCACGCAGTGGAAACAAGTGTGGGACTGGGAGAAGGCTAGCGTTGCATGGGAGGAACGGGAGAAAATGCAAACGTGGACAGAGACGAGGTCCAAACACGAGGAAAGAATCTGTGCTCTGAGAGAGCAGTGGCAGAATCTGATTCTCCGTCCGGTTTCAGGTGACTGCTGCTACTGATCCATTGAAGTTTTTCGCCTTTTTGCACAACTGACCTCCAACTTTCAGGAGTGTTGCAGTTCTTGAAAAGGTTTGATTTGCTACACTAGGATCCGCAAAAAAATTGTTTTTTGGAGTTTGCCAGTCTTCAGGTGGGCTGTACAGTTTTGCCAGTTTACTTTGGATTTAATTTCCAGTTGACAGGATGAGCGAAACAATGCATTTGCCATCGTTTTCCATCCACAAGAATTCAAAGGCTTTCTTGGTTTTATACGGAAAAAGTAACGCCGCCTTTTTGGAGGAATTTTAAGGTTTTATCGGTTTGACGTTTAGTGACGTGTCCTGCCAACGTCAGATGCTCCTCTGCCACGTCGGACAGTCTTTATGTTCGGTTGTCTCTAGAAAACTAGGGAGGGAGGGAGCGCGATCCATGGTGGTGCCTCCCCGGCCAATCGATCAATCGAATCCAGCGCTTCAATCGTGCTGTGCCGATGGCGTCGCATTCCAGCAGCGATCTCGGTGCGCGCTTGCTCGGCGAGGAGGAATCGCGGGTGAGTTGGTTCGCGTGAGTAGGGCTTTTTGTCTGATTTCTCTTCGCCCAAGCCTGGAAGCAGTAGCAGCAGCATCAGCGATGCTTTGGATTACACGCAGGACGGATCGATCGACTTGTTTGGGCAGCCTGCGCTGCGATCCAAGACCGGGGGATGGAGAACCTCAGCTTTTATTCTTGGTAAGCTCTTTTCTCACTGAAGCAAAGGAGACGATCTTTCTTTTCTTGTTCCAAGGAACCGAGTGCTGCGAGAGGCTGGCGTTCTATGGGATCAATGCCAACCTCGTCATGTATCTCACCAAGGAGCTCCACCAAGGCAACGCTACTGCTGCCAAGAATGTGGCTGTCTGGGCCGGCACTGGCTACCTCACGCCTTTGATCGGCGCTTTCATCGCCGATTCTTTCCTGGGACGATTCAAAACTATTGCTGCCTTCTCGACACTCTACGTTGTTGTAAGTTCTATCGTCTCTATAGCTTTTTCGCCATAGCTCCTGTTCTTACGTTTCTTTTTTTTTACTTCAGGGGCTGGTTTTGCTGACTTTGTCGTCGTCTTTACCATCGCTCACGCCTCCCGACTGTCCACCAGATGTCCATAAATGCCCAAAGGCATCGCTCGGGCAGCTAAGTGTTTTCTACACCGCGCTCTACTTGGTGGCCTTGGGAATGGGAGGCATAAAGCCGTGCGTCTCAGCGTTTGGAGCGGACCAGTTCGACGACGAGCACAAGTCGGAGAAGAAGAAGAAGAGCCACTTCTTCAACTGGTTCTACTTGTCCATAAACCTGGGCGCGCTCATCGCTAGCACCGTGCTGGTTTACGTCCAGGACAACATTAGCTGGTCACTCGGTTACGCCATCCCGGCCTTGGCAATGGTCCTGGCCATCTCGTGCTATCTCGCGGGTGGGAGATACTACAGGCACAAGAGGCCCGCTGGCAGCGCGCTCACCAGAGTTGCACAGGTTTTGGTCGCGGCGTGCCGCAAGTGGATGGTCGAAGTCCCCTCCGACGAAACCTTTCTATATGGCTTCCACGACAAGAACTCTGCCATCGAAGGAAGCAGGAAGATCGAGCACACGGAAGAATTCAAGTAAGCCTTGCATGTTTCTTTTTCTTCTAGAGAAAACTCTCGACAACTTTCTTTCTTCTCTCTAGATTTCTCGACAAGGCTGCCACTGTGACTACTCGCGATCGAATGCTGGAGCAGCCTCCAAGCCCGTGGAACTTATGCACCGTGTCGGAGGTGGAGGACGTGAAGCAAGTCGTGAGCATCATGCCGATCTGGGCCAGCAACATCTTCTTCTCGACCGTCTTCGCGCAGATGTACAGCCTCTTCGTGGAGCAAGGCACGAGAATGGAGCGGCGCCTCGCCCGGGACTTCTACGTCCCGCCAGCGTGCATGTCCCTCTTCGAGGTGGGGACGGTGCTCCTCATGGTTCCACTCTACGACCGCGTCATCGTGAAGCTCGTGAGGAGATACTCGGGACGCCACCACGGCTTCACTCTCCTCCAGCGCATGGGAATCGGCCTCTTCCTCTCCATCTTCCCGATGGTGTCGGCCTGTTTAGTGGAGAGAAAGCGCTTGGAGATGGCCGCGACGCTGGGGATGGTAGACGACGCAGTGAACCCGGTTCCAATGACCATCTTCTGGCAAGTGCCGCAGTACTCGCTCATCGGGATGGCCGAGACTTTCACGTTCGTCGGGCAGCTCGAGTTCTTCTACGAGCAGGCACCGGACTCCATGAGGAGCTTGGGGACCGCCCTGGCGCTCACGACTTACGGACTGGGATACTACACCAACAGCCTGATGATCTCGGTGGTGACCAAGATCACGCGCAGCGGCTCCAGCCCCGGGTGGATTTCAAACAACTTGAATCGTGGTCACTTGGATTACTACTTTGCGACCATGGCCGGGATAGCGGCGGTGAACGTGCTGTGGTATGTGCGCTGCGCGAGAGGCTACAAGTACAAGGAGACGAGCGTGATTGATCCGCCGGTCGTGTAGGGCGTTGTGTTCATTCTTTTCGCTCCAGGATTCATTGTTTATATGGGAGGTTCCCTCGATTCTTTAGATATAAAACATTCATGGATGATTAAGTTTGAGATTCAACTTGATCGTATCAATGGACAAAATCTACAAATGCTTAAGGAGGAGTTTCTAAACAAAATTGAAGCATGACCATGGACTTCTACCTCAGTTGGTCTTGGATTTGATGCTCTTCTTCTTCAGCCTCTGCGAGTTCACCATGCCCAAGTAGAAGAGGAGAGCTCCAAAGATGGACAGGTTCTGCAAAGACAGAGAAGTTTAACATAGTTCCATCAACACAGTGAAGGTACCTTGAGGAATTGCATGAACTCTCGGACATACGCAGGATTGGAGAGCTCGTAGTTGTAAAAGTCGTGCATAATCGGCGTGACGGTGGCGATAAATATCATCTGCACCAAGACAAGCTTTGAGCATTCAAGAGGAAGGAATAGAAAAGCCCAAGTAGCATTCATACAAACTCAAGCAAAAGACTTTTGGAAACAGTAAACAGACCAGAAGATAAGCGCCTATGGTGCTTCCACAAGTGAAGAGAATCGCCCCCAATCCTTCGGCCGCTATAGCAGCCATGAGCAAGTACTTGAGCTGCGAAACTAAAAGTTAAAGGGAGAAAGAAAAGCAAAAGAGAAGAAAGACGCTCTCCACTCTTTCTTACATTCACGCCTGGGATCTCGAAATGCAACGTGGATGACACATGCTGCTTGAACAGTGCGAACTTCGGCTCCAGCGTCTTGAGCGACAGTCCTCCATCGGACCCAAACTCGCTGATCCTGGAAAGAAAATCCCACACACATGAGCACAGCGAATAGATCTGCAAGGGGATCTCGACGAAACCGCAAAGCAGCAAAGATTTCGATGGGAATCGCGAAAGAAGAGGCAAGAGGAGAGAGGAATCACTCACTTTTGCCAGGCGGAGAGGATGAAGATCGCGGAGAAGAAGACGCGGCCGGCGAAGGACATGAATCCCATGGCTCCGGCGGCGACGCTCCCCAGAAGCGCGCGTGGAGGAAACCCTCGATGCCGCTTTCCCGCCTGCTGCGCCAAAGCCCAACCCAGCAAAGAGGGAAGAAAAAACAAATAAGAATTGCCTTTTGTTGGGCCCATCCCTACCGTCGGTGCCAAACTTGCTACAGCCGTCGGATGCGCGACACGCAAAACTTATCCTAGCCGTCGCTCTAAAGCTTTACTAACACGAGTGTTTGTGTATAAATATGTACCTGTTACGAATCAATCAAAGAATAGTGGAAGGAAAAAAAAAGGAAAAAACAGCACCCAAGGGTTCTCTCTCCAACGCTTACATTGTGACCTTTGATCTTGATCCGGTATCTTAGTTTTTCCTGTGTAAATTTTTGTTTTTGGTTTGGCTATGGCTGTTGGTTTTGATGATTTTGGAGGCTGTTGTTGTTGGGCTGCTTGGTGTTGTCTCGCTCATAATCCGATGCCAAGCTCTGTTGGACCTTCTGTGTCAGCAAAAATTGAGCCGCTTGGATGGCTTCTCCGCTGCCTATCATGGTTACTTTCCTGAAAAGAAAGAAGCAAAGATGAATACTAGATTGGAAGCTTGGCCAAGTTACCTATACTCTGTGCCCGTAACAAAATCTCCTCGGTCAGAAACTTTGATCTTCGCGCCGCTAGACTGCAGAGGTTTTTTGGTTTGATTTGTAACGTAACGATGGGAAGAAGGGAAGAGTTACCTGCTGGAGTTCTTGAAGCGTCTTGCCAGCCCGGCCTAGAATGAATCCGATGTGCTCGTCAGGTATACCAATTGTAACTGAAGATGTGAGTGCCCCCACTTCAACGACTGGTAGTGCCATCTGATAAGGGGGTTGCAACGCGATCACCGGCGCCATCATACCCTGCGAGACGAGAAAAGAAATTGAGAGACGAGTACAAGCTTTGGAAGTTTTAGAAACTTACCCGCGCAGACAAAATGCTTGGAGCACCATACGCAACTGGCATTGGGGGGCCAGGGCCGTTTCTTCTTAGATTTTGCAGTCCTGGAGACGCATGATAAACACACCTGACAATGAAAGGAGTCGGCCCTGTACCTGGATAGACGAGGGGTGTGCTTGTGGTCTCGGTGTAGCTCGATTCTTCCGTCAGCTTTGTAAGAATTAGCGTGACCGCTTTTATAATCTGGTCGACATTTCCTCCGATGGTGACGATGCGATCAATCACGCCGGGGAGAAGCTGATCTTGCGATGAGAGTTTGATACTGGCTTGCGAGTCCTCAACGAATTTTCTAACAAAAACGGCCATAAGCTGGCTGGGAAACAGAAAGAAAAAATAAGTCTCTACTTGCTTACTTGATGTTGGAGCCTCCCTTTCCAATGATTGCCCCGCAGACAGTCTTGGGAACCAAAAGCTTCACCTGAATGGATTTTGTATCATCTTGGTTGTCCTGCCAAGAGGGGAAAAAAAAAAAAGACAAAACACAAACAGGCCCGAATAAGAAACTAGAAGACAGAGCTGAAACTCAAGGATAGAGATCCGACCTTACATCTTTGATAATCTTTGAGATGATGAGCTGAAACGCAGTCAAGACGTCTGCTAGGGACCCACTCAATACAGCGACGCGATCTGAGGTACCGGGGAAGTATTCATGGTTCCGGGACAACTGAATTCGAGCTCCAGATTGAGCTTGAAAGTCGCTAATGGTGGAACCTCCCTTGCCAATCACTGATCCGGCAGCCGTGTTGGTCACTAGGAATCTCAAGTTCGTCGTAGTTTCACCAGCATTGTTTTCTGCAAAAAGAAATTCCATGAGATCCTCCGTCCTAGAAGTCCAATTTGGAGCAAAATTATGCCTCTAGAACTCCACCTCTCACTCTCCTCTCTCTCTCTCTCTCTCTTTCTCTCCTTGTGACTTCTAGGGTCGAGACTCCACCTATCTAGCAGGCAATGCATCACTCTCTCTTGCGCAGCTCCAGGAAGCTGGCAAAATCTACATTCGGCTGGCGCATTGCGATCGATCCGACAAGAAAAATTTCGCCTCAGGGCGCCAGATCCAGCCTCAAATCTTGCAAATTCCCTCACAGCAATGCGAGCAAAGACCTAACCTGGAGAAGCAGCGACCCCGTTCGCTGGCGCCGCTGTCCCCGCCGCCTCCTCCTCGCCGAAGCTCGATCTCGCCAAATCCTCCCCTCCTCCTCCCGCCGCTGCCTCCTCAGCCTCCATCTCTCTCTCACAATCTCCCTCCCGCCTCACACGCGCATCGCTCAAGAACTCCTCTCCCAAATGAAATACCTAGGGTCTTCTCTAAGCGATTCACAGAGAAGCCACTTCCATGTGAAGTGTCAAAGGCCTTTCTCTCATACAAGGAACAGGGTATACAGCCCAGGATAAAAAGTAAAAGTCACGGTGGGAAAGGGCGCGGTTAATGGATGCGGTAAATAAAAAAGCTTATATATAAAGACTAGCCAGTCAACAGGTTAAATCGGGTCTAGATCCAACGGCTGGCACCTCCCCAACGTAATACTTCTAACGGCTATCATTGGGCAGTACTTCCGGATCGTAATGCAGCGATCCAACGGCTTGTTTTTCCCTTGTCGGAATGTTTGATCTTGCGATCCATGGCGCGGCGCGGCGCGGCTCCTAGGTTTGATTTTCTTTTCGATCTTCTCCAAGATCTCGGGAGTAGGAGATAGATGCCACTGGGATTTCGGGGTAATCTGAGCTCCTGGTGCTGGTCGTTTTCCGGGCCGAGAATGACTTCCAATTCTCCTGCCACGCCTACGCTCCCGCAGCGCGTCTCAGCCATGCCAAGAATCCCTTGCTCTTCGGCCGGGAAGGATTTCTCCTTGACTTCCAGCAGCGCAGTGGTAGCTGGGGACAGCGATTGCTTCTGGAAGCCCGAGCTCACTCCCGCGGAGATCGCTGCTTGCAAGGAGGCGTTTGATGCGATTAACTGGAAGCTGGAGAGGCCGGAGAGCATTTACAGGGAATTCTCCTCCCTCAGGGTTCGTATTGTTTTAGAATTTTTCTTTTTTCTTGCTTGATTGCTTCGTGTTCTTCATATAGATTGTCTTTTGGTCTTTCTTCTCTATCTTGGTCTGGAAAGTTGTGATTGCTTGTTCTACAGTGCACTTCATTGCTATCTACAAACTCAATTGTTTCGATCTCTCGCAGCTTAGCTCGTTACCGAAACGAGAACTTATTGGGAAATTCAAAGCGGCCGCGTCAAATGCATGTTACAACAAAGACAGATACAGCGACGTGCTGCCTTGTATCCTTTTTTCTGTCCCTTCATTCTCTTCCAAGTTGGCTGTAGATCCTTGATTTTTTTTCTCGCTGCTAGTTGATGAGACGCGTGTGATACTACGAAAAACTAAAGAATCCGACTCTGACTACATCAACGCGAATTTCGTAGAGGTTACTTTACTTGCATTCTACGCGGCTTCACGAGATGCTTACTTTGTGTGTTGCAACAGTCTCCCGCGTTTGGTCATTCGTTTATTGCGACACAGGGGCCCTTGAAAACAACTATAGCGGATTTTTGGGAGATGGTGATGCAGCAGAGGTGTCCCGCCATTATCATGCTGACGAGTTTGGTGCATGGTAGCCTGGTAAATCCCATCCCATGCTTCCATGCTTCTTCTACTCACGCTTTCTACAACAGGATAAATGCGCACCGTATTTTCCACCAGCAGCTAATGAGCAACAAGTTTATGGTCGTCTGAGAGTGACAAACAAAGGTCTTGGCCACAGTAGTCACTCGATTACGAAGAGAGTATTTGAAGTCCAGCCTGTCGAGGTATGTTGGTCCTGGATTTATCTGTGATTCTGAAAAACTAGCAGGTGTCTCTTGCGTAGCTCACTCAAGAACCTCCTTTGTGCGTTTTGCATTTGGAGTACCTTCACTGGCCAGACCACGGAGTTCCAGCGTATACAAGACCAATTCGGGAGCTCTATCGATGCATAAGCACGATACCGGACGATGCCGGTCCCATTGTCGTCCACTGCAGGTAAACTCCGCCATGTCCATCACGGCTTTTCTTTAAACTGCGCCGTATTCTATCTAGTGCTGGGATTGGACGAAGTGGGGCATATATTGGAATCGACCAAACTTTGCGAAGGATACTGAAAGGTGACTTGACTGCTGTCAATCTCCAAGATACAGTTATGCGTTTGAGGGATCACAGATATGGAATGGTACAGACAAAGGTAATGAAATTATAAAAGAATTCGAGATCATTATGTACTAAGCTTAGTTTTGACGTTGCAGGCACAGTACCACTTTATCTATGCGGCAGTGTTAGACGAGCTGCAGGATCTCATTCAAACTGGTGATTGCGAATCTTCGGCCCAAACAGAACAGCGTCTTAAGAAATGAATCAAATGGTACGATCTCTTCTTAAATCATTTCTATGGTCGGCTCTAGAAGATCGTAAATTACTTTGGGGGCCTTCCTTGCAGCCGCGTGAAGCTCCTGTTGTTGATAGAACGCGAGCTCAGAGAGAGAGAAGAATGCATTGAAAGAAAAGAAACGGTGATGAATTCGTTACCTGGATTGCAAATCCTACTCTCAGGAGCGTTGCTTCTTGCCATGGACGGCCGATGAGCTGAAGGCCAATTGGCAGCCCTTGTTCGTCATAGCCAACCTGCGAAGGAAAAGCTCGTCAAAGATTTGGACGAGAGGATAGATGAAATCGATTTTGGTACCGACCGGGACGCTAAGACAGGGAAGGCCAAGCAAGTTGCCAGTCGCGATGAATCTCATCAAAGTCCCTGTGACAAGAGAGTTTATACTTCTTTTACTTAGAGCCGGAATAAAAGCTCTTACCAACTTTTACGAAGTCTGATTCACCTATGCTTAACGAGTCCTGTGGTATCACTGGAGCTGTGCATCTAAACAAGTAAAAAAAAAAAAAATTAAAATTTGGAAAAGAAAACCTTTTTTTTTTTCTCTCTACGCTTACGGTGTCGTTGGTACAACGATAATGTCGACCTTTTTAAATGCCTCCATATAATAGTACATGTTGCGCCGCCTGTCGAGATTTCTATCGAGATTAGAAAGAAATGCCAAGACAAAGCACACCTTAGACATTGAGAACCTATGTAGTAGCTCGCATTGAAATGCTTAAAAATCGCCAGTGTCCCTCTCACCTCGTAACTTATATCCTTTCTACTGCCGAGACACAAGAAAGAGCGTTGAAGAACCTTTCCTTGTTAGCTTCAAAGGGGAAGGTAAAAACTTACACGTAGTTGTAGTCGTGGTTGAGGGAGGTCATGATCTCTGATCCGCAAGTTACCAAGTGCGCAGCGCGAAGTTCCTCAAGCTCCGGAATCACGATCTCGACAGTCTGCAGCGTGGAAGTTTGAGCATAGACGAGAACTAGTTGAGAAAGACGAAGAGGAAATTCTGTTGTTCTTGCCTCAGTGCCAAACTCGCTTTTAAGCGCGTCGAGTGTTCTGTCGCAAGCCTTGGTTATTTCTTGATCCAACACGTCGTAATACCACTGGCATGACTTCTCGATCAGAACTTCCAAATCTCAAGTGCTGTGAAGTACCTTGGAGTATTTTCCAAACTTTAGATTGCCTAGGATGGAATTTTTCTCAAGCAATGGAAAGCAGGGAGGCGGCTGCACAAAAGGAATACACTGTAAGGAAAAATAAATTCAAAGTGTTAAGGAGTTTTACAGGTTTTGAGTAGAGGACATCGCTTTCATGACTGCCAAGAACAGCTGCATAGCTGCATCAATGAGATTCAATACAGTGATACGCAATCTTTGTAAAAGCAAAAGCTCCTTACACGATCATCAAATCCTCAATGTTTGCCGCGATTGGACCGACGCACAGCATGCTCCATCCTCCCTTTAATCCTCTGGAAAACCAGCAACATGAAAACTTTAGGAAGAGCAGTAGAAAAGAGATCAAGACATACCCGCGGCATGTCGTGCGACCAGTGGTGGTTTTGAGCCCGACGATTCCACACAAGGAAGAAGGAATTCTGATAGAACCTTCAAGAAGGAAAAAAAAAAAAAAAATACAAAACGCATCGATGGAAGTTTTATGAACGAAAATTGTTTGCGAAACCTCCGACGTCGGTTCCAAGAGCTGCTGGACACAGCCCTGAAGCGACGAGAGCGCTGCTTCCCGACGAAGATCCTCCGGTGTAGCGTTTAACGTCGTATGGATTCCTCACTGTCCTGTGAAAAATGGATCGAATCTTGAGAGTAACAACACGGTGGAATTTCCACGCTTGGGGATTCTAAAAAGCTCTTGCGAAGCGCTTACCCGAAAAATGGATTGTTTCCCGTGGTTCCCATGCCGACCTCGTGCATGTTGGCTTTTCCAGGAAAGATGGCTCCGCATTTTCTCAGCCGTGAAACGCAGACTGAATCATCCTTGGTCTTTCGGATCTTTTTCACCCACACCGACGCTCCTGCGTGGTTGCTCTTTAGATGAAAACTAAAGTCTCCAGTAGAGAAGAATGAGTTACCATTGGTTTCGTAAGGAAGGCAGTCGATGTCGTCTTTGATCGCTATAAAAATTCCATCCAGTATAGAGATGGGATTCCCTGCACCAAACGATGGAGTTACTACACTGGTTGAAAAGAAGAAAACCGAGTCGCACCATTTGCAAACCTCTCCGTGGAAGCAGCGGCTTGCTTGAGTAAGTCCTGTTTGTCCATTGACACGAAGTAAGCCATTGGTGGATTTCTACGTTGCGAGTCATCCACAGCTTTGATGAACCTCTCGGCAACCTGGAGCAATCCCGAAGATGGTAAAAGAATGTCAAGAGCTATAACCATGAAAGCTCACCTGAGTTGGCGTTAGTTTCTTGGATCTATAAGCCTCGGCATAATCTCTTATGCTCCAAAATCTAAACGCATAGTCCGTGTTGGTATGATCCGGGACACATTTCCAAGCTTGTTCCACACGAAGCAGAGGATCATCACTTTCACAAGTCTGTGTATCCGGTTCCTCGGCTGCAAAAATGAAAGTTATAAAGCTAGAGACAAACTGAAAAAACTCCAGCTAGCTTTTACCAGGAGCTGGGTACTCTGGAAGGAACATTGGCCCATCTGGAATATCTATGCCATCAAATACCTGCCAAACGAAACAAAGAAAGAAAAAAAATAAAGGAAAAGAAATATATATTTGTAAGATACCTTTGACACCCCATTGGTCTTGAGCAAGTGCTTGTATAGAATCCCACCAAAGAGCCTACTCTCCATGAGCCACACGGACAATTTTAAGGGAAACCCAGTGAGCCTTGGGCCTGGAAGCATAGCTTTGAGACTAGAAAACCACCCAAAAACAGATTTTTTGTACAAAACCTTCAAGGTTGGATCGTGTGTAGACGACAGATCCTTGTAGAACTTCCTCCACAGGCGGCATTTTTTTCCTTTTGTCAGCCATCCTGCGGAAAAAAGGCCGGAGACTGATGAGATTTGCGTGGCTTCATCACAGACAAATCGCCAGAAATCTAAAGAAAAAGGACACTCACCGGATCAGCGAACTCTAGACCTCGTTTGCGCCCAAATGCGTAGCGGCTCGTGAAATCGCGAAGAAACGCGTGAACCTGAGAGATTTTCCCTTCCCCTGAGAGGGCAAAAGAGCTGACATAAATGAGATGATTCAACCACCGCAAGAATTTTGACAAATAGAATTTGTGACTTTCTTAAACTACTCTCTTGATCTAGAACTTCGTGTACCATATTATTCCAAGTACGTACTAAGGATCTCCTTGTTCCAGAAAATCCCACAACGGAGCTTGGTCGTGTTCACGCTCATGCTCGAAGGTTATGGTCAATCTGGAAATCTCGACGAGGTAAAGAGGAGCTTCGACTCGATGGCACAGCAAAAACTTAGCAGCCTTCGCGATCCTTGTCTCGGCCTACGCTCGCTGCTGTCGCATCGCAGACGCTCAGGAGTTCTTCCACGCTATGCCTCAGTGGGACACAGTCGTGCTGAACGTGATGATCGAAGCCTTCGCGAGCAGCAGGATGATTAGCGAGGCCAGGCGCATCTTCGACGGCATGGAAACTCGAGACCGTGTGACTTGGACGGCGATGATCGTGCCACAGGGCAGCGTTCCGCGGCTCCGGTGAAGCGTCGAAGAGTTTCCGAGCCTCGTCAACCTTTCCTGCTCTAGAGAAAGCCATCCAATCGCGCTTGGACATTGTGTCGAAGATCACCTCGCTCCGCGTGTGCCTGGACGAGAGAGTTATACGATGCCAGGTCCCAGGAGGGCATGAGCGAAAACACTTCTTCCAGACGATGGCTTCCATCTCCCGCGAGAGAAGCTAGCATCCAGTTCCAGGTGATGATGTTCCTCTCGGGCATCCAGCCTTTGGCGAGATCTAGGTGCCCGTTTTGGCCGTAAGCCGCTACCAGTGCCGTGAGAGACACCACATTCCACTGGGGAGCATTCGACGCAACCCCTCTATCCCAGGGATTCTTCCAAACTTAGTGTCCGTACGCGGTTGCTCCAGCAGGCGTACGGTCAAAGAGGTTTTTTAAGTCGAATCTTCTCGATCGATCAAGCAGCCAAAAGCTCTTTAATTTCGCTATGGCCGGTTGGATCGCTCCTCGCACACTTTTACCCAGCATATAGTTCAAGCTATACCAATGGACCGGAAATAGGTCTCCGAATATACCCACAGTTGACAGGTCCTTTTTCCGCACCATTGGCACTCTGTGAATGAAGAGATACTTGGAACAAGAGGAAGGAGCCAAGAGGCAGCGAGTCTGTTGTTCCGAGAGCATGGGGGCGTTTGATGATCTGGGCGCTGATCTGGTGCTCGACATCTTGTCTCGCCTCAAGCCAGCAGATATTATCGTCAAAGCCGGGGGCGTCTGCTAGCAATGGCATCGCCTGTCACGCTCGCAGGAGCTGAGAGAAGCTGTGGCTAGCAGAACTGCCGGAGATCCATGGTTTGGAGATTCGGAGCCATGGGTTGTGCTCCAATTTGGCCACCGCTTGCGCTGGTATCCTTCACTGGAAGCTCTCCTCAACAATCGGAGCAAGCTTCTTCATCAGTCCTTTTCGGTGGGTCCGCGGGGACACAGGTTTCGTCTCCTGGCATGCTCGCTGGGGCTTGTGTGTGGGAGGCTGGAGGATCTGGACGAGGCTGGCAGCGAGGCGACTACTCTAGCTGTTGGAAATCCACTCACGAATGTACGGAAAATTCTTACCAGGATTGATATCAATGCTCATAGGATGTACGACTAATCATTAGAGTGAAAAGGTCAGGGCATTACCATGTAATTCTCAAGTTTGATGACCAGCATGCTATGGATTATGATTCCAAGACAAATGCTTTGTGCCAAACTAATTAAGTTGAATAGAATTTAATGTTAGCATAAAAGAGTGGTCATTGTGTTTTTATAGGTGACCTTTGTGCATTTTTTTAATAGCATTGTATTACTGATAAGTTGCACTTTACATAATGAGAGTAGTGAGTTCTCATTAATTTTGGTTTAGCATTGGTGGCTTTAGTCCTTACTTAAAAATAGTGATTTAATTGTTTGTGGTTGAGATGTTATAACTGATATTATAACTTTATATATTAGA